GTAATGGAAACAAAACATATGAGAGCCAACCATCCACAAATAGAAAAAAATATTCTTTCTACCAAGCTTGTGGTCTTGGAGCCCCTTCCACCCTTTTATTGATATACCATCTACACCCTGAGCTCCTTAGAGAGCTCTTTTATCTTGCCCATGATGGCTGATTGATTGGAAAGGAAACAGTTTATTCTGTTAACAGGTATGCTTCATAAACATTAGTTAAAATCTGAGGTTTTCTGCTGACTAACCTGTCTGACTGATGGCATTTAATTTTGGCATTTAATCAAAAAGGGCCCTGGCTTCTTTTCTTCTAAAAGATCAAATACTATATTTTTAGATCCAAAAATTCAAATCAGCTTCCAACTTTTATGTAATTTGTTTTCATTAGTAAAGCACCAGATATCAAAGCGGGCTGGTTTTCCCTTGATCAGAACAGAGCAGTCATTTTCAGATCAAATACTGTAATATTATTTTAACCTTGTTTATTGAATGCAACCAAACTATGGATCTCTCACACATTTCCTAATATAAATGCACAAGTTAACCTTTATATACTTTAATAAAACAGTTTCAGGTGAATTAAAAATAAAAAAGTATTTAGGGTTCATTCTGTGATGCATCAATTGAACAAAATGTTCAATGCATCTAAAACAACAACCTGTAGAAATCTAAATCTACAGGCTGGCTGGTGTATCTCTAGCTTTTATTGTAGGTTAAAGGTTAGTCTAATGTGCTTTCTCTTTGTGAAAGCACAAAGCATCAGGTGAATAAATATATGGTCTATACTTCTATATTAAAATACCTTGTCCTTCTAACTTGGCATGCCTAATGTTAAATTTCACTGAAACTAAACAGATCAGTCCTTGAACTTTCACAGTTTGTTTTTATTCGGTTCTGTATTTTTGTTAATAACAAAAGCCTGACTGAAAAATAGCAGTTATATTTTGTTCTGTTTGATTATTCCAACAATAAAGAAGTGAAAGGATGCAACAACCGGACCATATATGTTTTCAAAGATCAAAATGATTACTTTGGTTACTACATTTTTAAGTAATTTCCAAAGTCCGTTTTTGAACGAGTTAATCAATACCTCACACCTTGTCTTGGTGAGATTAGGTTAGATTTAGTTGATTTGGACTAATTCTAATGCTTATAATCAAAGTTTATCCTCATCTGCAGCTTTCTAGCACACACCTGAGGGTCTTGGGTGAACTGTTTGGTTTTGGTTTTTATGACTGAACTACCAAAAGTCTAACTTGCCTCAATACAAGTAAACCCAAACCATGAAAGTGCTACAACTATGAGCATAAACTATGACTACAACTACGAGGATGGCATATGTTACAGTTTTCTATTGTGTGTTCTCACATGATTTTCTTCCAAACCTAAAAATATGTCAGAAGCTAAATTGGACCATTTAACACTGACAAGGTTTTGGTTTGGATTCAGAGATGACTTATCGTCTCATGCAAAACACAATTACTAATCAGACATTCCAGCAGCTCCTTTAAGATTTCTGCTCCTGATATATCAGCCTCCTTGGTTTCTGTCTTATCTTTTCAGCAATAATAAGAGAACATCCTGTTTCACAGTTTTTTGGAATTTTCTCCAGCCAATGTTTCAGTTGCATGTAGAATGCCAAAAATCTTTCTGTACCATTCTGCTGACTAATTACTTTCTTCTTTCTATTGTTTTTTTTTTTTTTCCTTTACAAAATGAAGGTTATATTTTATGTTGGGGAAGCAAAGTTTGCATTAAAACATTTGGACAAATAAACATGACAAATGAACTTGTTGACCTTGTAATAACTCCTTTATTTTAAAATAAGAATAAAGTTCATCTGCTTGCACAACAAAACATTACACAACATGGATAGTTGATAAACATACAGACAGTTTGTCTGCACAAACAGAAACATCACTTTTTTGTCAAAGTTAGTTTAACACATTTAATATATAAAGTTAATATTTTAAAAAAAACTTCAAGGATATGCTCCTTTGGGAAATTAAAGGATAAGCTATTCTATATAAATGTCATATAAAAGTGTCATGCAATTTGATACAACATGTAAGATACTTTTAGAACTTCCTTCTGTGTTGCATGCACAAAATCAGGTTTGATCAAAGGAAAGTGGTGGCTGTTTGGGGTAACGTTCTCTGAATATGAGAAATGCAGGTTACTAAAAGACAAATGTATCTGCTTCTTATTCTATGTCTGTTTCTATCTCCTTGAACCCCAGTCAGCCTCAGCAGATGGCCGCTCACTCTGAGCCTGGTTCTTTCTGCTGGAGGTTTCTTCCTGTTAAAGGGGAGTTTTCCTCTCCACTGTCGCCACATGCATGTAGTGTGAGGGATTACTAAAGAATCAACGACAAGATGCAAGAGAATATCATCAACACAAGCTCATCCAGGAGGAGCATGACTTGCAAGTCTATGACTCGGTTTTCTTTGATAGAAGCTTTTAATCAATCTGACTATTGTCTTTACAAAGTGCCTTGAGATGACATGTGTTGTGAATTGACGCTATATAAATAAACTGAATTAAATTGTTTTAAAAATACTTATGCAGTCAAGAGAACTGAAGTAATATTGTTTGACCAAAAAAAAAGGAAAATGGTTGCATGCAAGTCTAGATAAACGGCCTGTTTCTCTGGTACACAAGTGACAGCATCATGTGTGGGAGTTTTGCTGCTGAAACCACTGGTGGACTTAATGAAAAGATTCTCTCAAAAGAGGATAACATTTTGTGGAAATTTTAAAGCAATATCTAACCATATCATCTAGAAGGTTAAAGCCTAATGCTACGTTGACACCTAAAGCAACAGAGGAAGCAGAGGCAGCTAGCTTACATGCAAAGTCAATGGTTGACGCGCATCAAGGCACAGCAAAAGGTCTGGTAGCGCATTTTGAGCAGCAGGAGCAGCACGTCTGAGTAGCTGAAGCAGCACATTACGAGTTTCTGAGCAGCTAACGTACATGAATCGCTTGAGAAGCAGCAGCTGGAGATCGAAAAATTTAACTTTTGCTGCGCGCCACGCTACATGAACCAATCAGAGAAGCTAGTCTGGGAGCTGGCAGGGAGACAAACACAGCACTGCTGAACCAGATCACAATGATCACTCTTCTGAAACAGTTTATTAACATCTAAATTAACTTGAAATGCCGAAATCTGCTGGCAAAACATGTTCAATTTTATTATACTGGTGCCTGCAGTTTGGATTTCATAGAGGGAAAACCCCTTTCAGTCGCGAACAGTAGCGGCAAACCACGAAGAGTCGACCGGGCCAGAGGCTGCTGTTGAATGGGATTCCTAGTTACTGCGACCCTGACAGCAAAATAACATTTGAAGGCAGGATGGTAATCTTAATAAACTGACTGCACAGAATAAGTTTTCAGGTGGACTTCTCACTTAAAAACATTAAAATAAATTTTTACCCACTGATCACAGCAAACATTGTTACAGGCAAGGAAAGGATAGGGTAGCACATGCGGTTTTGCTGCTTCTGCTGCTTGCGGTGTAAATGTAGCATAAGAATACCAACAAAATACAAATAAAACCATAATCAATGTTTTGGAGTTGCTATCATAAAACTTTGGTCTCATAGGAAAACATGGGGGAAGTTTAAAAAACAATCCACTAGACTTGGTTTCCAAGATTTTAAGACGTTTCGCTTCCCCTCCAGGAAGCTTTGTCAATTCAAATGTCTGGATCCGCAGTGAGTTTGAGGCTTTATATAGACAAGGCCTTGTATTGCTTGGAAACATGCAAATTGAAACCGACGAGTGGGTTGTTTGGTTCCATTGTTAGCCTGTCCGACCCACTTGTTGGTTTCAATTTTGCATAAGCAATACAAGGCCTATTCTATATAAAGACTCAAACTCACTGCAGATCTAGACATTTGAATTGAGAAAGCTTCCTGGAGAGGTGGCAAAACGTCTTCAAATCTTGGAAAACCAAGTCCAGTGGGTTGTTTTTAAACTTTTACGGAATGACTATGACCTGGATGACTGAGAATCTTCATCAGCATGGGGAAAGTTAAAAAGCTGTGTGTGATGAGGTGCCTAAACTGGCTTAGTAAAAGCAATTCATTTAGAAAGATGGGACACAAATCCAGCAAAGTATTTTGTGTTATATCGGTAAGGATAACCAGAATATTTGACCCAAGTCACACAGCTTAAAATGCAGTTCTTATTTTTTTCTTGAATTCAGAGCACAAAAGATTGTGATAAATCAAGCTAAAGTAAGACAAAAAAAATTGTAACCCGATGTTTTAACCTATTTTAGCCTGACCATTGTTTTTGTTTTGTTTTTATTCATAGCATGTCTATATCTGATTTTTTTGTTTTTTCAGAAACCAGGAATGACCACAGCAGCCATGGAGCCTGTTGGAGTCTTGGTGGAAAGGAGCACCAATGCAACGGACTCTCCACTGAGCTCTCAAGAGGATACAGCTGCTACATTCACCATTGGCACCATCCTATCTATCATGTGCTTGGTTGGAGTCTCAGGGAACATCTACACCCTGGTGGTCATGTGTCATTCCATGAGAACTGCAGCGTCAATGTACATCTACATTATAAACTTAGCTTTGGCAGATCTGCTTTACCTTCTCACGATCCCCTTTGTGGTCTGCACACACTTCTTGAAGGGATGGTACTTTGGAGATGTAGGGTGTCGGATACTAATAAGCATGGATTTCCTGACCATGCATGCCAGCATCTTTACGCTGACTATCATGAGCACGGAGCGTTACTTTGCAGTGCTCAAACCACTGGACACGGTCAAGCGGTCTAAAAGTTACCGCAAGGCTATCGCACTGCTTGTCTGGGTAGCCTCACTGATCCTCACATTACCTATGATTGTGACCATTAAGCTTATGAAAGTGGGTACTAAGGCAATGTGCCACCCCACTTTATCTGAACTTTCTTACAAGATTTACATCTCCTTTCTATTTTGCACAAGCATTGTTGCCCCAGGACTGATTATTGGGTACCTCTACATTCAGCTGGCACGGACTTACTGGATATCACAAACGGAAAGCTTCAAGCAGACCAAGAAACTACCTAATCAAAAGGTTAGTAACTTGCAAAAAAATCTGCATGTAGTGCAAGAGTGATAAGGAATGCTTTGGAAATTTATTGTTTTAATGCAGGCTTTGGTTAAACAAGATTTTAATATCTTGCTGTAACAATGTCATAAAATTCAAAGAATAGAAGGATTGCAAACCTACCAAGGCTTGCTTGGTGCATCCTAACTAACAGGCTAGACATTTCAGAGTATAAGTAAGGGAAGAAGTGTGGAATCCATTATTTTTTCTGTTTTGCTAAAATATTAACTGGCCATCTGTGCAATCAAATTTAATGCTCAACTAGTGTCTCTGATATTTACTTATAATTAAATAAATGTTGTCAGTTTTATCCAATAAGTAAAATTAGTCGATCCTAAGGCTTGAGACGGGGTCAAACCTTGAACCTCCAGTAGGTTGTTAATTCAAAATATCCTGCATAGGTCAGTGGCGACTGGTGGAGTTTTCTCCGGGGGGGGCTATAAATAAAAATAGACGTATACCAAAAACTAATCAAACATATACTTAGTTATCACAGCAGTATATTTATATGAATGTCAACAACAAAAAAACATAACTTTATTACCCTTTATACAGTAAAAACAAAAACATAATCTCGTGCAAGTTGAATATTTGTACATACATTTTGCGCTTCTGAGGCTTTGTGAAGGCAAATCTGTGTTTTGCATGGTCCAATATTGTGTCACAAACCTAAAACAATTATGTACCAGTTTTATGCATCAGCTTTATATACTTTTAATTTATAAAACCAATTTATTTTCTGGGAATGAGTTTATTTAAGAGCAACTATGCAAATTAGTCAATATCTAGAAAATGTACACTATATGATATTATTTCCCATGTGAATCCCAGATTGTTCATGCTTCTTTGACTTTTCTAAAAAGTGCTTTAAATCAGTGTTACCTGTCTTTATCCATGCTGAATTAGAGTCTGACGTTTTAAAAATGAGGCAGGGAAAAACAGAATAAAGTGTTAGACATTAGCCAAGCCTTCTTGCTAAACCAGGTCCTGAAAAGAGTGTACCGTCTCCAAGCCCTTTCACCTCTAATTTCTCTTGCTGGAAGGGACTTTACTTAGTAAAATTTTTCTCGCACCATTTCTTTCTCTCTCTCCAATGATCATCTCCAACTTCCGCGACTCGATGTGTCAATCAGACCCACTTTGACTGTAATGTCAGTTCCTGTCAGCTATGGCCACAGGAGCTCTCCTATCCTTTTGTTTCTGCCCAAGTACAACTTTTAACGAAAGTCAAATTTTTGCTCCCCAGGGCGGAAATACATCACCAATCCGACAACGAACAAAACAGCTTTACTCGTCATTAAAGATAAAATATTTATCTTGCACATCTAAAAGATATATGAATATATTTCACAAAGTTTTTATTTTATAATGTAATTTTTTTTTTTTTTATGTCTTAATCATCGTTATTGGGTGGGCTGGGCGGCCCCCTAGCACCCTCTATTGGCCAGTCTCCACTGACATGGGTAATGTGGAGTACTTAAAGGAGAAGTTCGGTTTTTTACACTTTAAGCCCATTTTCTGTAGTGTCCAGGATGAAATCGAATGATCGACACCAAAAGTTTGACAATTGCTCCTGTCTCTGCTTTTTCGCTCATTTAGAATCCACCCTCTGGCTGCTTTAGAATGGCTAGAATAGAGCATGTCCGATAATGCCCTTAAAACAACC